CCAACGCAATCCATGAAATAGCTGAAATTCCTGATGAACGCCTGTGGGAAGAGGGAGGGGGGAATACGAGATGAGAAAGCGGAATGTAAAGAGCTATTCGAAGAAGGGGAAAAGAGCAGGATGGCGAAAGAAGTGAAGATAAGCTTGATGAGAAAGCAAAACAAATAGGAGGGGCGTTTCGCTGGAGTAGAGATGTCCACACTACCTCTCATCATATTCAAGGCCGGTAGTGACAATTTATTCTCTCAGCGTGCATTGGCTGCATTCTGCACCGACGCCTATCGTACCTTCGTCCTGGTTGAGAAGATTGGGAAACTGGGATCGCTTACTCTGTAGTGTTCTGCAAAGCAGGTGGATTTGACAGGTGGAGGTGGTGTCTGGAAGGTGTTGGGTAGTGTGTCTATTGGTTGAGTACTTCGTTAGGCCCCGGGTTCCTCCGTGCTTCGCTTCGTACACGCTGTTGATTGCGGTGTCTCATCCAGATGGCGCTGCCCATCTTTACGGCCAGCATAACTATACGACCTGTGCGTGCATTCTTCCCCACAAACCATCAATTGTGTCCTAACCGATTATCACGGATGTAGACGTCAATTTAACGACTGTGAGTCGGTCATGTCTCGACCCGCCTCATTTCGTTTCCTCTGGTCTAGTCTCACAAGGATGTAGGGCACATGTGCCTTGGAGCAATTGCGTGTTGCGTGACCATGAAACCATCACTTCATCGGCCGAGCGAAGCTTGCATCTCACTAGCGCTCCCACTGGTAATTTTGTCAGCTACGTGTGGCATCAAGTAGTGCTGTTGAAATACCCTGCTAGTAGAGAGCTTTGCTAGCCGTAGGCACTCGCTTCGTTTCATCCCATTCCAGATAATCCCCTCTCCCAACCTCCTCTCCACTCACCGTTGGATTACTGCTGGGTGGAAAAAAGAGTGGAAGGGGCTGCAGCTGCTTGAGAATGGCGTGGATTGTCATAATGATCCAAAGTGGCGACGAAATGGAACAGCTGCTTCTGCTGATGCTCCATCAGCACTCTGACATGAACAGTGGAGGCGGATGCTAACGACCGCTGAATGCTGCTACTTGCAGCATGAGTACCCACCTTGCTCAACGCATTAAGCATGTTGG